CCTTCTCGTATCTATAGCGAAACGAGTTTCAGTCAGCTTCAGATCCGTGTCTCCAGACGATTTGAGAGCGATTGAAGCACACTACGGCTTCGCTACGGGGTCTGAGGCGAAATAGATGCGGCTCATTTTCGCCAAAAACATCCGACATGTTGGTCGCTGTTGCCAGCCACGGAGTACCTAGCAGTAGGCCCCGTTGGGAATCTGAGCTGGACTCCTTACCTGGCGGTGAACTCCTCGAATGTCTCTTCCTGGTGCTCGCTTCGGCGGGGAGTAGTAGTGCTGAAGTTGAGACTAGAGCCGGCAATCAAACCGGGGACAACGGCGGCGCTGGCTCTCGACGGGGCGACGGGACGGTATGCGCGGAAAAAGGTCTGAGTAGGGCCGCGGACGGCAACTCGGAGGAGAGAGGTGGAAGACATCGCGAGTCTGGTGTATAAGAGGTCGCGCAGCAGAGAGCCCACCGGCGAGCTGTTGTTTAGTAGAGGTTTGTGCTTGATGTTCCCGGGGTTCTCGGTGGATGTGAACCGTGTTGTAGGCCGTTAATAATAATTTCTCACTGTCAATCCCCAAAGGTATCCAGAACCCAGACCCTTCCGGGTTGCTCACGAAGCCGATGTCTGTGATTGGTGGTGTATAACTTGTTTTCTGGGGCCGCGGAGCACATTACATAATCGTAGATAGTTAGAGCGTACCTACTCCCAAAGGCTATCTAGGGGAAAAACGAACAGACTATGCAATGAGCCACACTAGCCACACTTAGGTTCAATCCGAGTTAAACGGTGGATTGGCTACCGTATTGAGACTAGCCTGGAAAGTTTAGGTATTCGACAGCGCTCTCAGCTAGTCTAAATACGGTAGGGCGATGTAAGTAGGTTTAATACTGTACGGAAACATCAGAGACTGTGAGTATGTACCTAGGTATGTACACCTATGAAATCTGAGGACTTTTGATTCCCGAAACGCTCGAACCACCTGAAAGTTCCCAGACATTACGATGCTTGGATCGGATACCGTATTGAGACTAGCTGAAACCGCTGCATTTTAAGTAGGCTGTTGAGGCTAACTAGCCTAAATACAGTAACCGACTTATTGGCTGACTAAGTAAGGATACCTACTTACGTATGAGCACTTGGAGGTGGCTCGTGCGTTTTGGGGAATTGAAATCCCAGATGGATAATTATGCCTTCACATACACGTCTTTATCACATTGTACAGCGAAGAAAGAACCTTAGTCCCCGTGATACAGCCTGGTGTATACGGCATACCGTTCAAGAAATACTCAGGACTCGACCTCCTAATATCTTAACGGTCAAGCTTTCAATCTTCCAATCGCCACCATGGTGACGATGGGTTTCAATCCCGACTCACCGGTTCTGCCAGTTGGCACAATTGGATATCTAGGCAGGTGACTGCCAGCTGACGCGGGCCGGCCGCTGCCCCAATAGGTATCATTTGCTCAAGGGAATAGCTCATGCTAATCAATTCGCTAAGGTTGGTACTTAGGTAGTGTACAACTGTTGGGCTTACATTTAGCGCAACCAATCATTGCCTAGGAAACCGATTAGTCTTCCCAATGAGGTCTAGCCCCCGTGGCTTTAGCTAGATTTACCGTTGTTTTAGCCAAATCTCCTAGTGGACTACTTACAGTACAGTGTAAGTAGTGTAGATACGCTATCTAGGTATGTACCTAACAGCATGAATGATCGCCATCGTATGGGATGCTCGAAGACACACGTAGCACAATAGACACTGGGCAGTGAGCAGCCGACGGCGATGATGTCTGTAATTGTGGCTAGAATGAGCGCGGTACGTGTACCTACCCAGGAAGTACCGTACACTACCGGTACTCAGATAGGTAAGCGCTCCTGCCAGTGCGACGGGTTTAACTAGTCAGTAAGTAATCTGTATGTTCCGTACCTATTTTACATATGTATGTATGTATACCCACCTATACGTGAAAGTACGAAGCGGAAGTGGATTGTACCTACGGACGTACCTACTGTGCAGATTCCTTGCTGTGGGTCTAACCTTATTGGACCACTTCGCTGGTTTCATTGTTGGTGAGGTTCGTGCAGTAGGTAAGTACAGATTAGTTATACCTATGGGATTTCCGTGCCGAGGGGCCCGAAAATCCGCGGACACTGGTTAGAGTTTCCCTCCAGCCTTGTGCGTGCATCGGTAGATACGCACTAATGAAAAACAAAGCAGACCGCGCATCTCAAACAGAGTGCCTAGAGAAAAAACCTGCAAACCTGCAAACCTGCTACAGGTTGGATCCCATCCTTCCCCCCCCCGAAACAAAGGGTATAGTCAACATCCTCCCTCCTATTCGATCGACCTGAATCGGATTCATGTTTTCCCTTTCCCAATCCCCTGCATCCTGCTTCTCTCTCTGTCGGCAAACGCGCTTTAGTCTGTAGGGGCTCTCCCTTTCCTGTATATCGCGTCTTACCTCTCTTCTTGTCACTCCTTCATCGTCTTTCCACCCTCCTAGTCTGGCAACGCAAGGTCGACGTGTCCAGTTCCGACGCTTTCGGCCAATTGCACATCTTCACCGTGTACACCATACCGACCACGACGTTCCCTTTGGTGGCGGATCAAGAACCAGACACGTAACGCAAAATGGCCACTTCGGCACCTGCTGCTCTGTGGGAATCTTTCCCCCTTCCTACTCTCGACACGCCATTCGGTGTACCCATCTGGCCATATTTCAGCAAGGCCTTTGAGGTCGTTGTCGGCTACCCTGCCGATGACTTTAGATTCGTTGCGGGCAAGACTCCGTTGTCGACATTAAACGAGTCCCTCATCTTCTGCGTTGTCTACTATACCATCATCTTCGGCGGCCGCGAGTGGATGCGTAACCGGGAACCCTTCCAGCTCAAGACACTGTTCTTGATTCACAACTTCATTCTCACCTCTGTCAGCGCCATTCTGCTCGTTCTCTTCCTCGAACAACTCATACCCACCCTCGCTCGACATGGCCTCTTCTACGCCATCTGCGATGCTGAAGGCGGCTGGACCCAGCCCTTGGTCGTCCTGTACTATGTACGTTCTCAATTTTTCGAATTGTGCGCTGGTCACGTATGCTAACTATAGTAGTTGAACTACCTCACCAAATATCTCGAGTTCCTGGATACCGTGTTCTTATTCCTGAAGAAGAAGCCATTGAGTCAGTACACTGTTGTTTCCAGCTAAGACCCTCTCAGCATGCTAACTCGCGATGACCCAGCCTTCCTCCACTGCTACCATCACGGCGCGACTGCTTTCCTCTGCTATACCCAGCTCATTGGTTCAACTTCCGTCTCATGGGTTGTCATTTCACTCAACTTGACCGTTCACGTCGTCATGTACTGGTACTACTTCCAAAGTGCTAGGGGCATCAAGATATGGTGGAAGGAATGGATCACACGCCTCCAGATTATCCAATTTGTTATCGATCTCGGTATGTTTGACGCTCCCACAGTAATAACGCCCGCAGAACGGGATATATACTGACTCTATCGCCAGGCTTTGTCTACTTCGCTTCCTACACTTACTTCACATCCACCTATTTCCCGCATATGCCCAATGCCGGGAGGTGCGCTGGCGAGGAGTACGCGGCCTTTGCCGGTATGGGCACGCTGACATCCTACTTGGTTCTCTTCATTTCCTTCTATTTTGCCACATATAAGAAGGATCGCAAGGCTCCCAGTTCACGCACGACTCTCCGCCGAATGTCTCAAGCTCCACTTCCCGACCCTCATGTTGTCGCAACCGCTTCTCACAATGGCCAGGCCACGGGCTCGGGTCCCAGGAAAGTCAATGGCGGTACGATTCGGTCCCGCAAAGCATAAATGCGTCGCCAAATCTTGCTCACCGATGGTGAACAACATACTATAATTCTAGCACTCTGCTTTTAGGCCTTCGGTAGGCTCTTTCCGACCCCGTTCAGCCATTGTATTAGTGAGATTATCACCGGTAATGATGCATTCGACGACGACGAAGAACATCACGCGTAGATAGTCAACGGCAAGACTCGGCGTTGAGTTTGTAAATATAGGGGATACATGGGTGCACTGACTGGAGTTTGGATGGGTCGGGTGATGATGGTTCAAGTATATGGAGAATTATAGGGTAGCGGGAGTAACGTCTCGCCATGTCACATTACGTATGAGTAAGGCGGCTTCGAGCCACGTTTCAGCTGCGGGCGATTGTAAAATTCTATAGACGACGTTGATAATATGAATGATATAAATAATTACAATAATTGATGAATCTTTGGAGGCATGTTGTGCAGCTCAATAGCTCCATGTAAGGTTATTGATACCTAACCCGGGTCCTCACTTTCAGGGCTCCGATCAGGCCTCAGCATGCTTCACTTGTTGGGGAGGTATTTACCTACCTACCTACCCAATAAGTAGTCGGACTTCGAAAAGGAAGCTGATGCCATTTATTAGTTGAAGTGTAAGGATTCCGTTCGGCATCTTCGAACTTTTTTTTCTGGCCGTCTCCGGGCGGCATAGACGACTAAGGAGCCAAGGCCCTTCAACACGAAGATAATGAGACTTGCTACAGGCGTCGCGCAAAGGGTGGGCCTGCGTGCCAAACTTGGCGAGTCCCTGTGGATTCAGAATTGAGATCGAATTTGGCTGCGGTGGCTGATATGGTTCGGAGAATGTGGGGGTGTCACCTTGTGAGAGGTACGTAAACTCCTCGGTCCGATGGGCGTAACAGAGTCACCTGTAGTTCAAGTCTTTCAGGGCAAGGCTACTACTTACTACCTATTACTTGGACAGGCTGGGTAAACTAATCAGGAATAACAGTCGATCGGGGCTAGATAGTAGTATTGCTACACAGTAAAGGGGCTAAGCGACGGCGTGAGCCATGGTATGAAGCAAGTTACTTGCCTCTAATACCTACTTGGGGAGGTTACTTATACCTACTCAAATTAAAAAAGAAAGAAACCAAGAAAAAAAAGAAAAAAGGTAGGTAGTTGGCCAAAAACAAAAAACGACAATGATTGCACTAACCAGGAATCGAACCAGGGGCCTAAGCAGGGCATCGCGTGCTAGTCGCATGGGAAGCTTAGATGTTACCATTACACCATTAGTGCCTTGGTATACCTACGGACCGTAATCGATCCGTTGATGCCGGATCGTCGACGGCGGATATCTTACATAATCCGACGTTACCATTCTTGAACTAATTAATTAATAGGTAGTACATGACTAAAATAAGTGCCAATACTGTCTCAAAAGGTAGGTAACCTGTACGGGTGCAGGATGGTACTGGTACTCACCCACCCCACTTTATTTGGAACTCGCGATAGGTAGTTATTCCAGGTGTCCATGTCACTGTTATTATACCTACACGTGTAATCGTCACGTGTAATCGTCTGCGGGGCATCGGGAGCTCTGCCTTAGCAAACGGCAGACCACACCCCGCCCACAAATACTTGCAATACCTACTACCTATCTACGACATTGACAACTACATGCCTACCTACCTACCTACCTACATAGGTAGTGGGTAGATACCGCTACGGTCCGTATACCTGATTCAAGCATCCGCCAGTTTCGCAAACATACAGCACAGTCACAAGAGTAGCTTGTATCAACGAAATCAAATCAAATATTCCAACACCACATCTTGCATTCTAGCCGTCGCCGCAAAGCTGTACAGCCAAATAGCCGAATAGCTAGCCCAAAATGAGCGGCAGTAAAGGCGGCGACAAGATCGAGAAGATCATCACACGGCTGCAACAGCGTATCGGTGAGGGGCAGTTCTACGAAGCCCAGCAACAGACTCGAGTAGTCGCCGCACGATATACTAAGGCCGCAAACTGGTCCGCTGCCATCGACATCCTTTACAACGTTGCCCAGTCTCTCCTCAAAGCCGGCCAAGGCGGCAGCGGCGGTGACCTTTGCGTCTTGCTCGTCGACACCTTCAAACAGGCCGGGCTCAAGCCTGACGCCGCTACCAAGGGCAAACTGCTGACGTGCCTGCGTTTGTTCGACAGCGAGGAGCCCACGCGCAAGAAGTACATCGGGGAGATGATAGCGTATGTTCACACATCTTGTTGTATTCGGCCCCTGCGTTATGGTTTGGCGAGCAAGACCGACAAGAGCCCAGCCCACTAACACCCATGTTGCCGACAGATGGTCCTCGAGATTCGGTGATTACCCCGCCGGCGACCCTGAGCTTCATCACGTCATCGGCTCGTTATATGCCGAAGAACACGGAGCTTACGATGCCGAAAAGCATTTGGTGTTGGGTACTAAGGATTCTGCCGAAATACTGGCGCGCATGGAGTATGAGTGGTTCAAGGAGAACGATGCGCATACTGCTGCCCACTACGCCGGCCGAGCCGTCCTGCCCTATTTGATAACTGCGAACGTCCGGGCTGCCAATACCTCCTACCGCGTCTTCACCAGTGCACTGAGCGAGGAAAACCAGTCTCAGCTTGGCATCCAAGATGTGAGTAGCAACAGTGCTGATGTGCGTATATTTCCCAGCATGCCGCTTCTGAACTTCCTCGGCCTTTTGTTGCTCGCGGTCCAGCGAGGTAGCGCAGACCTATATAGACACTTGACGGCCAGGTATGCCAATCATCTGAAAGAACTAGGGATGTGGAATGAGGCGCTTGAGATAATAGCGGAGATGTACTTTGGCATCAAGAAGCCACGGCAGAGCAATCCCCTGATGGACATGATGAGTGGGTTTTTCGGCGGCGCCGCTCCTGCGGCTGGAAATGCGAAGAAGTCCACTGGGCAAGCACCTAATTTGGCTTCCATGCCGGCGGCGGACGGTCTGGACTAATTGTGCTGTGTGAATATGAGTGTAGAACAGCCAGTTGAGTGGGTAGAGAGATCGTATGAGCACCAAGCGGCTTGCCTACACTCAATGCAGAGGTGGCAATTCCTCTTTGATACTCGGGGACAGTTTTTAGTCTCCAAAGCGTGACTATGCACGTCTGATTGACTGAGAGATAGTCTCTATATGATCAAACTAAACAGTCCGGATAGGATAGTCTCCTGGCAACACACCATTCGATTCCTGGGTACATACATATGTTTGTTTTCCCGCATGTGAGTTAAAACCGTAAAGGACTATACGTCAACGGCTCTAGCATGACTTCCGTGGCACGCCGGTGAATACTTCAACGTCGCCGGACAGACCCGGAATCCGCTAGAGAATCGGCTACGTTCGACTATCGGTACGGGAAAAGATTACAGTCAGACCAAAACAAGCGGGGGATGGGGGGCGCAAGGGACGAAGTCGGTTGTGGCAATCAATCGATTGATTGATTGATTGAGTGATTTGGGCGATCGACAGCTTGGCGATTGTATTGTCAAACTACAATGATATCGGATGTGCAATTGATCGACTTGGACACGACCAATAACTATAGATCGGGGTAAATCGGCGATGTTCATGGATTACCGCCGATATTTAGGTTAGGTTGCCATCGCGTACTTACAGCCGGACAAAGAAACCCTCTACCTACCTACCTAGTGCCAAGGTGACGGACCTACCTATACAGGCCGTCGTCACAAAAGGTCTTTCTTGTCTGGCCTAGGATGGACTGGACTGGACTGGACTGTAAACATATACCGGTACATACATGATGAGTTTCCGCCACCCATCGTAGGACTCAGTTTTTCTTCCAATTACATTTGTTCGTAATTACCATATCATTACACACACTATATGAAAGCTTTTACGGTCTCAATTGTTGAAATGAGATGAGTGTTGTTCACTCTTTTTGGAAATAATAATAATAATAATAATAATAATAATAATAATAATCGTGAGTTCGTACATGGGAACAGTTTATATCGGCCGAATATACCCTATAATTATAAGGCCGGGCCGGGCCGGGCCGGGCCGGACCGGACGGGGTGGTCTGAGACATTTAATGCGCCACACGGAAGGCATTTGTCGCACAAGCAAAGGAGTGCCGGCCGATGAATGCCGCGGTTACACACCCGAAACGCACTACGGAAAATGAAGGACGCAGGACCAACTCCCCGATTGTCGACTTGGTCCCCTAGCGTTCGTTCGCCCGCTTCGCGGTAGTACGAGCATGGAGCCGAAGGCAAAAAGATCACCCATAAGAGGAAGGAAGGGCGGAGAAGAGAGTTGGGGACCGGCGTACCTACTGGAACAGGTGCACGAGCGACAGCGACAGCGACAGCGACAGCGACAGCGACAGTAAGCTTTATGTCGCGCAGGACATCAGGCGGCCGAAATAGGTGGGCGGGTGGCTGGCATTGGTATGGAGCACGTTAGAAAGACGACGCCCAATGATGTTCCGACCGGGAAAGCCGGATAATCACTTGACGACTCCGAAGAAATCCTTCTCCTCTCGCTCTCGACGTGTCGGCGCTGCTGGCTGCTGGCAAGCTGCAACTTAGTAATACGATGGCATCGGTGTCGAGTAGGTATGTTGACAAACCAAATTAGTAATGGGGCCGATGATGCGGGGTTGCGGTAGATACTATACTCCCTAACTACATCATATATACGGAATAGCTTCACGGGTGATATATCCCCATTCACACTTTATCACATAACAGGTACTGGTAGGGTTTCCGTACTTATATAAAAAGCGGTATTTCCCTCTCCTTGCGTCTTTTGTGAATCATCCCTCAACCCTTTCGAAAACCCCGCCTCCCCCGTCGAACTTTCTGATACCGCCAAACATGGTTACCAAGATCTTCCTGTAAGTCCGATATCCGATATCTAGTCCTTTCGCGCAAGCGACTGCCTGCGAAGCTGCTACTGTCGACACGCTGCTGACCTTTCTCAGAACTGGTGCTACTGGTGCGTCCTGTGCCGGGTCCCAAGATCAAGCGGTAGCAAATCTACGTCCATTCCTGACATTGGCAATCTGCTAGGCTACATTGGTGGCGAGGCCCTCTACTCCATTCACCATGCTCATCCCGATTTCGAGTTCACATTGCTCGTACGCAACGAGCAGAAGGCCAACCTGATTTCCGCCCAGTACCCGGACGCCAAGTTTGTCTATGGCAACCTCGACGACTCAAAGATCATCGAGGAAGCGGCCGCTGCGGCCGACATCGTGATCCGTATGTGGTTTGTCGGGTGTCGTGATCTTTACTATATATTCCACCTATTTCATTCGCATGTTCATATTGGATTGACTGACGCCGCCGCTCTATTCTAGATACGGCTGATTCTTCCGATAATCTTCCCTCTGCCAGAGCCATCGCCAAAGGTCTTGCGGAGGGGCATTCGGACGACAAGCCGGGCTATTGGATCCACGTGAGCGGGACTGGTATGCTGGAATGGTATGACATTCACAACGGCAGATATGGACAGTCACCGCTGCCGGAGCAGAAGTAGTGAGTTTACTCCCCTGCGTGGAAAGCAGTGTTTAAAGCCCTCCCATACAAACTTGTTTGCGTCGGCGTTGGCGTTGGCGTTGACACAAGTACATTATATAGTCACGACATCGACGACATCGACCGAATCTTGACCATTCCGCATCATGCGCCGCATCGGGACTGCGATGAGATCGTGCTAGCTGCCAACGAAATCGGACGCGTCCGGACACTCATCGTATGCCCGCCCACTATATACGGTCCAGGACGGGGACCCGTCAACCAGCGCAGCATCCAAATCCACCGCATGGCCAAGTTCACCCTCGAAAATGGCTTCGCGCCCATCATGGCCGGCGAGGGCTCGCCCGAGTGGAATAGCGTCCATATCCATGATCTCGGGGCCTTTTTCGTCCTTGCCGTCGACGCTGCTCTCGATCCGGAAAAGCAGAAAAACCCCGAGATCTTCGGTCCCCACGGATACTTCTTCCTGGAGAATGGCACGTACACATGGCGCGAAGCGGCTGGCTGGGTCGCCGAGGCGGCACAGAAGCAGGGATATCTGCCCGAGGCAAAGACGCAGGTGGGCGATTATAAATACCACGGCGCCAACTCCAAGGGCGTCGCGGCTCGCGCGAAGAAATACCTCGGCTGGACACCTCATGGCGGGAGCCTTCGGGACGAGGTTCCGAGCATCGTCGCGGTGGAGGCTAAAGTCCTGGGGAAGCAAGCCTAAGCAACTCTTCGAACGCGAAGGGAATAACAAACC